TATATACAGAAACGTTAATTACAATGAATAATACAATATTTTTCTGACTTTGTCTCGATTTCTTCACTGAAACAAAGAGATAATGTTTAAGATATTTACAAGTTCATTACTACGAGATAAAACTGAGATCAAAATGTTAGTACTGAAATATAGAATGCAATAATGACGTATTGGAAGAGGTCGGTGCATCGATAGAACGACACGCGACCCTAAACCCTTTCATTATCATTTCTTTATCCACGTTAGACCATTCTTTCAATCTCTTCCCTTTGCTCTATATTTGTGTTCATGTATATCTTCTCTCTTTTTATCTATCTCCCTCCTTCTCTCCCTTTCTCTCTCACCCTCTATATCAAGACACGTTCACGTTCTTCGACATCTGCGAAGGGCGGGGAAAGCTTCGAAGCAAAGCGAGGCAAATCACCCTCTCTCTCTCTCTCTCTCTCTCTCTCTCTCTCTCTCTCTCTCTCTCTTTCTTTCCTTCTCTCTTCGCTCAAACACCTTCGCTTTCTTTTTCTCTCCTCCCCTTCGTTCGAATCACCATCGACGACGAGCAATTATTTTGAAATCCATCAGTTTCACCGACGGATTAAGTGTCGTTCGAGAGCGATTAACACCCCAAAGATGATCGATCGATCGAACGACCATCCTTGTTCGCTTTCTCTCGCCAATGCACGTGTGCGACAGCTTACGTGTTAATGTTTAATTGCCAACAGTCACCCTTCTTTATCTTTTGATTTTTACATGATCATTAAAATACTTTTTCACGATATCGTTAAAAATAATTCATTAGACAGCTGCGCTTGAAAGTAATAGTAAAACCCTACGATATCATTTTAAAAGTCATAACTTTGGGAAGAAGAAGAGTGGTTTTGTGGCGTCGAGAATGGTAAGAAAAAGGTTTTTAGCTCTAGATGCAACCCTTTCGCGGATGAAGCGATTCTCATAATAAGACGAAAGACTCTTATTCTCTCTCTCTCTCTCTCTCTCTCTGTCTCTTTCCCTCTCTCTCGTTCTCTCTCTCTCTCTCTCTCTCTCTCTGTCTCTTTCCCTCTCTCTCGTTCTCTCTCTCTCTCTCTCTGTCTCTTTCCCTCTCTCTCGTTCTCTCTCTCTCTCTCTCTCTCTCTCTCTGTCTCTTTCCCTCTCTCTCGTTCTCTCTCTCTCTCTCTCTGTCTCTTTCCCTCTCTCTCGTTCTCTCTCTCTCTCTCTCTCTCTCTCTCTTCCTCTCTCCTTCCAACGGTTCTTCCTTCGTGCAAGCAGCGTGGGGGTTCGTTGGACACAAGGTGGTTGCTATGGAAACGGAAGATCAAGTGGGTACGAGGCTACCTCGCCGGGGGTCGTGCAGTGGCTTGGGGGTGGCTTGGAGGTGGCTTGATTTCTTCATAACGGCCGCCATTATCGCGCTCTCCAACCGTATTCCCCTTCTCTGTCTCCTCCTGCAACTTTTCCCTTCTTTTTCCTACTCATTATGTCCAAAGGTAGAAGGGAATATTCTTCTTCTTTTAAAAATGATCTTACAATGGCGTCGGTTTTAATTGGAAAAAGTCTTACTCTTCTTCCATTTCTCTCTTATTACTTTTTAAATCCTTCGGAGCATTTCGAAAGAAAGAGATAAATTTATTTCATTTTTCGTCGCTCAGATATTGTGTAATAATCGACGCACTGGATGCATCATAGATAAAAAATCAGAAAGCTAAGAATTCTCAAATAAATGCTGAGAGTGCGCGTGACGAGTCAGAGTAGAAAGTACTCTTTTTCCATGATTTCGTCTCATCACTATTCACACGGTTTTCTAAGGGCTCTGTACTAGGTACTAGTACTACGTATAACCTCTATAGCGAACTATCTCTCTAGACTAGGAGTCGTAGTAGAAACGTGCTCTCCGCATCAACGATGTAGGGTGTTGCATACATATAGTATAAGAAGCGTCTCCTCAAAAATTGATGCGCGGTCTGGCTCGCCGCCACGCAAACTAGATACCGTATCCAGATGCAGCATCTCGTATTCATGGTGGACCGAGAAAGAGGGGTGAAAAGAAGTCGGGAGACCAACACGAATTCTCCTTCCCTTTGATTACAATATATAGCTGCTTCAAAGCGAATTGCCAAAAGTTAGATATAACAATGTGTCGGACGTAGCCATGTTATTCAAGCGTCATGGAACCGTGGCCACCTTGCAGGATGGTTAAAATACCGCAAAGTCTTCCCCAAATGTCAGTATTAATATTTTATCCACCTTTTCTGCCGCAACCCATCGGTGGAACCAACTCGGACGTTTCTATGCTTATTACGTTTATTGTTATCGAGGCGGATGGAACTATTAAAATATTAAAATCCGTTTTTCCGTTGCTTCCAGCTCGATCGAGCATGTCTACAGACGAGTTCTTTTCTATCGACGAATTAATAACGATATATTCCGATAGTAAGTATCGTTCCCCGTATTTTCGATATTTTTCCATACGATGTTAGATAACTCTTGATAACAATTAAAACGCTCGGAGGTAACTTAAAAGTTAAGACAAAGTTGATGAGAAAGACTTTCGATCGATGATTCCACTACGGACAGAACAAGATCGTAATCGGAAAATAATGACGGGGCTGGCACGCTCTCGTCTTTCGTGCTAACTCGGCAGGTATAGCTATACTCGTCTCGACGAGAGTACGGTGAAGCACCTGTCTGTAGTACTTGAGTCGTAGTATCCGTACAGGTGCCTCCTTAACGTACCTGGTGAATGGCCTGTCTCTCTTCTTACTACTTGTTCGTACGTGCACGAAAAGGATTCGGTCGATCGGTCGGTCTCTCGCTCGCTCGCTCGCTCACTCGCACGAAGCTCGCATTGATGACCTTTATGAATACTGAGAAGCACGTGCTGCCAACGGTAGACACGCAATTGCCGGACTGACAGAAAATGATCCTGCCAAATTAATAAGTCATTGGCAAGACTACCGTATGTTTGTAATTTCGTGGAATACTTCAGAATTAATGCGTGGCCGATTCTTTCCACGCGAAATCCAACTCGTCGCGCGCGTTCCTTTGGAAACAATTATAAAATCGATAACTGTCTAGTTAATTTCATTTCTTTATTCATCCTTCTCGAACATTGAATTAATTAATTTTAAATTATCAGCTGTGCCCTCGTTACATTTAATTTTTTTTTATCATTCTCATACGAAGAATTTAACGCGTTTATAAGTAGATTTGCTTATCCGGGAGATCAGATAATGGGTTTAAATGGCAGGTAGGTGCCAATAAATCGTCTCACTTCCTGACTGACCAAAAGCGAACTCGAACGCGACGACCAAGCGAACGGCCGGATCGAATCGGCGAACGGAGGAGCGAGAAAAAAGGGGCATGTGCAAGTCGCAACTGTTTTATGACTCTCCAGAGAGGGGTGCTCCGCATTTATTCGCGATCGTATCTCCACAAAGTCCGTTGCGATATTTCAACATTTGCGCTCACCGAGTCGCGACCAACTCGAAACGTATTCATTTCTTTTCGACGATCTTCGGACGATCGCATTTACCTTCTTAAATCGACAATGATAAAAATTACCTTGCTACGAATGGGAATGGTATAGGCCGAGGGAATCTACTCTCAGGAATATTTGTCGTTATCGTTGTCGTCGCCGTCGCCGTCGCCGTTGCAACGATGTCGTTGATATTCATTACGACGATTCCCGACGTTTCTCAGCACCCATGAATAATACACGACGATTTAATCATTTTTTTCTTTTTTCTTTTTTTTTTTTTATCGAATGCTCTGGGCATTATTACACTTGCGTCTAATGTGCACCAGAAAAACTCGAACGTTCGCGGACTATAATTAGATAGATATCCGCACGAGGTCACCGTTCATATTTAATGTAAGCGTGTGCCAGTTTCTAAAGACAGTCCTTCGTTCAATAATGAAGCGATCGCATCAAGGATGTTACATTGTTCGCGTCGCCTTATTTCTTCTTTGGTGCGGTCACCTAAATGGAAAGACATTTCGTTATCGACACCGTACCATTTCTCTCTGTATTTTTCTTATTTATTTGCCGTCCATTTGTGAGGGTTAGGAAACTCCGAATGTCGTCCAGCGTCTACGGCGAAAACGCGAGGAGCAGAAAGGTGGGATTATCTGAATACAGTCGTTTCGGGGGTGAGTTGCGACCCCCCAGGGTGTAGTAGGTGGCTGCCCTTAGGGTCGGTCACATCGGCGAGCCACCCTACCGGTGCTCCGCTGACGTATGGTGGTCATCTTCTCACCGAATTACCACCATCTTCTTTTTCCTTGGTCGATGTTCTCTTCCAGGAAGGGTCCATCAAATAGATTATTTGAATATCGATCGATCGAACGAGACCACGGACAATGGACGTGCAATCATTCTTCTCCTACATTCTTCTTTTTCAAGAAATTTCATTCGTGAAGAGAACCGAAAGTGATTTAACATAATTCGAAGGAACTATCTCGGAGTTTCATCCGTATGTGTGACTTAATCAGTATGAATGTGGCTATCTCGAAAGTCGTTATTCATTCGGGATAACCTCTGTCGAGGGTGTTACCAGTAAGGATTAACGTAAAATGGAAAAAAGCTGTATATCTCTGTCAGAAATCTTGCCCTCATTGCGGAAAGGGAAGCGTGCGACCGAACGCTCTTTAATTAAATCGAAAAACCAGTCCTTTCGATCGAACGCATGAATACAGTTTTTTCGTGTGTACAGATTTCGCGTAGGACGGAGTTTCGCGAGGTCGAATCAATGACGAATCAATCCTCGGGATAAAAGGAAGTGAAAAAGGAAAGAAACTTCGTGGGCCTTTCTTTTCTAAAATCACGTTCGACTCGTCGTCGAGCTAACTCATAAATACGGATGCGCGCGTGACTGTCGCGCGAGTCCTTTTGAAATGGTGTCCCGTCAATTTGAAAGGGGCGGAGGGGAGGGGAAGCGAAAGGGAAAAGTTTCTTCGTCGAGTTTTAACGAAACGTCACTAACGAGAGCCCGTTGCACTTTTTGTTGCAGCCAGCGACGCGCTCGGCCGAATCGATAAGGAGCCAGCCTCGCCGGAATCCATACAAGGTGAGTTTGCACGGAGAGTTTCATCGTCCGTCTGTCGTGTCCGCTCCTTCTCGATAAGATTAACGTACGAAACGCGTTTAACCTTCGAATAGCCGGAACATAAATTTTCCAAACGAATAATGCCTCGCCTCTCCACGCCACGGCGAGTTCGAGCCGAAGGACGACTCATCGAATCGAACGATGCGCGAGTCTCGCCCTTCCCTTCTTACCTTTCCTTTTGATTTTCAGATGTGCCACGACAAGAACAATTTCCGATTAACTTTCTCGTGAGCGTCTCCAATCGGAATTCAAAAGCGAACAAACGCAAAGGAGAAACGACAGACGAACGAAAAAACGATCACTCCAACTACTACTTAATTTATGCGTTTGCGATCGGTTTGATCGAAGGTTGTACAGACCTAATTGAAATTAAAAAGAAAATGAAAATTCGCTCGGTGATATTCATCGACCAAATAACTTTGATTTTTTTTTCTCGTTTCTTAAAGACAACAATCTTTTCGTGATCACCCAAAGTCCACGACTACTCGGTTAATTCTTTTCCACGTAAAGTATGTCATAAAGACAATTACATTCGTTGAGCACCGCCCTACGGCTTCCCGGAGCTTTGTCATTTGCCTCGAAGAATTCTTTCGTGGCGTATAACCGACCTTTTAACATCGGGCATTATCCTGGTTGCTCACGGCAGGCAAAGTCCGAGGAGGGTCGGTCAAATCGCTTGAATTTTTGTCAGTGTCGTAAAACTCTGCTCACGGATTTCGCGAAAATTCCCATCTTTTCGTCTGTCATCGTTTTTATTGTATGTTTCTTCGGAGACGTAATTGATAGACATTTTCTATTCGTGGAACTTGTAAACTTCGGTCGCAAAACGACCGATTCAAAGTAAAAAATTCTCACGGACTTTTATTATATATGAATTAATCGCTCGTTATAACCGCGCATTAGTTGCTACAGCATTATTTGTAATCGTTTATTCCAAGAATATGATCGTCTTGTTTCATTGAAAGTTTCTTTCTTGAACACGTGCCGAAGCGTTACAAAGGCGTGACGCTGTACCGTTAAAGAAAGATGACGTTAATGGGACATGCGATAAGAAATTATCTTTATCGGTAAAAGTATAGCTCAACTCGTGCGTAAAATCTTATCCACCGTTTCACTCTCGATTGAGTGATATCTATTTAGTTTGAAAATAACTTGATCTTCCTTCGTGAAAGGGAGACGTAGTATGAGCATTGGTTAAAGAAAAAAAAATGAGAAGGAAAAATAAGAAAAGAAAAAAAGGAAAAAGAGAAATAAAAAAAAGAAAAAAAACAAAAAGTTCGTAGAACGATACTTCGAATCGGCGATCGATCGAATCGATGGATTCGAAGGAAGCGATCGACGGGGAAGAAACGGGAGTACGGAAACATGGAGAAGCTTCGGACAAAAAAGTTTCCACCAGGGCAACACTCTGGGAAAGTCTGAGAACCGGTCGTAAGCAGGATACTCCTCGTTTCTGTTCGTAGCTCTTCGACGTTGGTAGGTATCTGCCTACGACGAAACGAACGAGACAAATGGAGAAACAAGAAAGTAATCAGCGAGTTCGAAAAGGCGCGTCGGTGGGGTGATGATGACGGTAACGGCGCAACGTTGAGGAACGATGGGAAAAGGGAGAAAGAGAAAAAGAGAGAAAGAGAGAGAGAAAAGAGTAGGTAGAACAGATCATCTTGAACCTGTGTTTTACTTTATAGCATTTAGCCCGTTGTTTGTCTTATTGCTATTAGCCTCGGCCAATTAGTAATTTTATTTTTAATGTGGATTCCATGAATCGGGCCCACTGTGAACGCGCATACGAGAGAGAGAGAGTGCAAGCGAGGGCAAGCGAGGCCAAGCGAGAAGGTTCACAGAAGAAGAGAGAAGAAAGAAAGAGAGAGAGAGAGAGAGAGAGAGAGAGAGAGAGAGAGAGAGAGAAAGAGAAAGAGAAAGAGAAAGAGAGAGAGAGAGGGGATTAGAAGAACGGAGTAGGGGGTACGCAATACGTAGGATGCTCAGAAGGAGGGGGCATGTCATTAGGAGTCATTAATATCACGGACCTCTGTAATTTGACACACTTCCGATAGCCTAGCGCCACCACTGCTGCCACCACCGCTGCCACCCGCTCCATTTTTTTTTCCTTCACTAGACCCCCTTTACCGCCATCCTACTCTCTCTCTCTCTCTCTCTCTCTCTTTTCTCTCGCGAATAAGCACGTCGGGAACGTTGAAACCATCGACGAAACTTCCTCGTGAACGCTGTGCCTGCGATATTCGTGTCATTCCAAATGGACCGACAGTGACTCTCAATCATTTCTTCCTTTGAAGGATCTATCATTGATTTTTTACATTCTATGAAACATCTAGTATGTCGATAATTAACGAGAAACGATACCAAAATGATACCACCGCATACGGGTGCCAGCTGCTCGATCTTCATCGATCAAAGTCGAATCGATTGACTCGTTGCAAAATCTCATGCTCGCTGTGAGTCAACGATGGAGCGTCGCAACGGATGGAGCCAAGATCAATATGATTTGCGGATGCTAATCGAATCGCTAATCGTTTATTCCTCGATCGTATCGGCACACCTGTTCGACCTATATGGTCACTCTAGAGATTCCTTTAACGTGAACTTCATGGAAATCTTAGGTTGTGCCGTTCGAAACGAGCACGTCTCTCATCATACTTTATAATGTCTTTACGACGTATCCCCATTTCTAACAATAATCGATGTCGTATAATAATTAAATTAAAAATTTATCAGAATCGAAAAGTAATATTTTACTAAATATCTTCGACTTTTTGCGAAGCACACACATACACTATCGAGTAATCCACAATTTTCCTTCACCTTTACCATTTTACCGTTCACCTGTCGATCGTTATCCATTGAAATCGATATCACTATTCAGCACGTCGGAGGCGGTAATTTAATATCGCGAATTCCTATTCCTTCCAGTATACGTAAACTGCTTTCACCGGCAAGACACGTTACTATAATGTCGAGAGAAGCGATAAGATCGTAGATAAAGTTATTGATCGCAAATTAGCCTTTCGTATATCGTGGTCCGAGTTGAAATTTCAGCCAAGTTTCATGAAACTAAAATGGAACGATCAATTTGAATCGAGCTCGAAATTCGTTTTAATGAAAACTAAAAAAAAATCGGATGAGATCAAAAACGGAAGAAAAAAAGAATCATCTGATTCTCGAAGAAACGCAACGGAAGAACTTCTTTAAAGAATTTTGAATCGAATCAAACGATAGAGATGAAAAAGAAAAATCCTAAGAATCGAGGCGATCGGTTTCACTTGGAATGCAAACAATCTTTATGATAAAGTTGTGAGAAGTCAGTTTGCTTACAAAGGTACGAGCCTATAATACATCTTCTTGGTGACTTTGTTATTTAAATTTGGGGAAAAAGAGTAAGAACTGGGGACGAGGTGAACGTGGAAAACCGCTTTTGAATACTCAAGCGTTCTCTTACCCTCGATACGAGAATTAAGCTTCACGCTTCAAGTTTTTCAATGTTCAGTTTTCTACTTACGATAAACTCGTAAAAACTTCATTCTATAGTTGACATCGAATTTTTACGAATTTTATAAAATCATATTAAAATCACGATAGCAATCTATATTCTCTCTGCTCACCAAAAAGTGGAATTTCTTCTGAGCTTTATCAAATATTTTCGGTAAAGTGGTCACTTTGTTATTCGAATCGAGGGTGACGATGTGAACTTCTCTCCTGAATGCTAAAAAGTCGTCCCTCAACCCGGATGCTTCTACCACCTACCCTTTTATCCGCTTTTCGATTCATGCCTCAGGTTTAAAGGAAGACGAAAGCAAATTCAAATTTCGTGGGACGGCTTTCTCAGGGATTTTTATACATTACTGTGGTTATCCACTGCGAAATATCTTGTAAACGGAATACGTCGATCTTTTCGAGTCGTAACTAGCTGTAAAAGAAGAAGAAGAAGAAGAAAGGAAAAAGAGATACATTAGGCTCTTCGATTAAGAGAGATTAATCGTCTCGCCCACTCGAAAAATAAAAACGATTTAAAAAACAAAAAAAGAATTATGAAAGAAACTCGTGAGAAGAACGACAAATGGGATTAAGAAGCAAAAGGAAGAAAGGGAGGGAAGATATTTATGAAAATGGCAGCGATCGACGAGTGGGTGACGACGCCATTGTTGCTTGTTCCATAAAAGACTAGCAATTAGCAATTAAACCAATAACTCTGCAATTGGTGATTCCATTAATGGACACGACGTTCCCACAGAGGACAAACGTTTTTCACTGTTTTTCTTACTGATCCCCTGCTGCCAAGCCGTACAATTGCTTGATAAACGTGTATAATAAGAATTGATCTTTTTTTTTCATTGATCATTTTCTTCATCATTCAATTCCTTTAAGCTAATTTTTAATCTCAATTCTATTAGATCGTGAAAACGATAAAGTTCATCCATAAAATTCATATCTGTCAAAAATCTATATCTAAGTCAAAAATCAAAATAAAAATTAAAACTTATTCAGCAAAATAATTAATTGACCCTTCCTTAGAATCACGAAAGCTCAGGAAAGAGGAAAAAAAATACCAACTCAAATCTTGCCACTCATCAGCCTGTTGCAACGTTACACCCTTAGAACCGGACTTGGTGGCCGTATAAAAAAAGCCAGAGGGTTGCACCCCTTGAGAGATAGCATATATATATATATATATATATATATATATATGTACAAGGATACTCGGTACAATCGCGTGCTGTCGAAGAACACGACGATAATTGATTATAATAAGCGACGAGTAAAAAAGAATGAAAGAAAAAAAGGAAATAAAGGAGGGTGAACTAGTCGATCTTATCGGAGGATACTAAATAGCACTTAAATGTCTATTTAATTAATAAATCTTTCTTTTTTTCTTTTTTACCTTTAAAATCAAATTTCTCACAAGTTAACAAATTTATCGTATATTGAATATATTTTCTTTTTTT